TGTTTTTTACATTACGAAAATATTAATTAGAGAACATTTCATTCTATGATATATATTTTTTACCCCCCCCCCCCTATACTATAATACTTCTTTAATAATAATAATAATAATAATAAGAAGAAGAAGAAGAATAAATGAAGCAAACATTAATCCAAAAAGATGTATCGTCGTTGGTCATCGTCACGAGTTTTAAACACGTGTTCACCGAGTAAAGAAAAATTACAGAACGGGGTGTACCTCTTGTGTTAGGTAGCTTGAAAGGAACTCTCGATGAGAGTATCATTCGGTGCCATGGCTATCAGCCAGAGATTCGTAGCGTATTTCAGATCTTCTTAGTTGAGAAGACCAACTCTCATTGTCCTAGAAGATAGTCTAATCGTTTTTGTCGTGCATTAACAACGTTGTATTATAATAGTGACGGTAGAAGAAAAAAAAGAAATAATTAATCATCTACCTAAGTGTATCTTTTATTAGTTGTTTGTTTTGTTTAAATTTAAAATAAATTTAAGTTTTCAAAATGATATCGATCGTTTGACATCCTAACATTTCTCCAAACATGTTCAACAATTATCGTGAACAACGTACACCAGAACGTTTGCGGATTGGACAAATCAAAAAACGGTATTTGCTATCGTTGAAAAACCAATTCAATTTGTTTTTGTTTCTTTATAATCATTGCTTCATTATTCGAAAAAAAATAAATGAAAAATATCGAATTGAATCTTTTATCACAGGGGGTTAGTTATATGTGGATTGAAATGATAATAATCAGAAAAAGTATTAAGAAATATTAATTTTTATGAATAAAAGGGAAGGATTTTTGATACACATTATTATCCACCGGCACGTTTGTATCTCGTGCTTGTCGTTTGTCTGTCAACTGACGTAAGACTCTAGACGATTAATTCACTGTCAGGGTCAGTACCAAAATGGTGCTGGCACTTGTTCGCATACCACTTTTCTTTTAAAGAAACCTGTACACGACATTGTCTGTGACGGGTGTAACAGAATTAGATTATACAGATTCCTATATTCTATAATAATAATAATAATGATGATAATGATTTATTAAGATGATGATAATGATAATAATAATAATAATAATAATAATAACTTAAAGACAGAACACCAACTCGCTAAGAGAATACACGAGTTGAACAAAACTGTACACGTAATAGATATTGTAATACCAAATGCATACAATTTATAGGAAAAAACAATTAAATATGACATAAAGCTTGTATAATTTCTAATAATTCGAAAAATTCGACCTATCAACTTCATAATTAAAACAATCTTCAAAAGGATTTCATTCTTAACAGTTGAAGTATAGTTACAAAATGTAATATATTATAGGGAAAGTGGGACCTGCAGGGATTGAGCTTTTCCTAGGTATTACCCATAATGCCAAGCGAGTTTTGGCAACGTAGGAAACAGAATAATTGTTATGGATTTTTCCTAGGCATTGTACATAATACTTTGATATTCTATAGAATATCAAATTAATATTTAAACAATGTTAAGAAGAATACATTATCAGGCAACAAGCACACACATACAAAAGCGAGCATGGAGTGGGTTTTTGAGACTATGCGTGCCAATTTACTATACTTTGTTATGTGTGTATGTGTATCTGTTGCCCGATAAGATAACAATTCTTCTGTTTCCTACGTTGCCAAAAACCGCTTGGCATTGTGGACAATATTTAGAAAAAGCTCACAATCCCTGCAGGTCCTCACTTTCCCTGTAACATATACAAAATGACAAGAGAGAGAATACAATAAATTATGATATACAATACTACATGAGATATTCATATTAAAATAAATTTAAAGTTAAAACCTAGCTGAAAATCATCAAACCAAAAAAAAATTATATATCTATATAATA